TGAAAACTCAATTGCATGATCCACAAATGTCTTCAATCAATTTGTTGGTAGTACTTGATTGTTTGTATTTGTCCTGATGTTTGTTCTAACGTTTGTTCTTCCTACTGAGTGTGAGTATGCATGAATATTTTTTCTATAATTTTGAATGCGATGCATTTTTTTTTTCGATTTTATGTTTTTAGGTCAAAAAAAAAACAAAATTATTTTCGATACGTCAGAAATACAAAGAAAATTATTGACAATAGTTCTATACAAAAATCAATTCATGAAAATTTGCGTTGACTCAATGTCTTTCAATTTTCTCTAGTTTCTTTTTTGTAGTTATATTTGCTTATTTCCATCCATGTAAAATCTAACTGAATAATTAATCAAATAAATTAACTAAAAACTTAAATTTGATGTTTCTGTTGTATGATTATTCGTTCCAGTTAAATGTTGATGTCGAGCTCGTATAGATGCAAGTAATTCAGCATATCGTGGTTTATCTGGTGCTAGTGTTCGAAATTCACGACATGATTCAATAATACCATTTAATAAACGTTTCTGTCGAGGATCAGAATCATTTGTTGAAAGAAGTTTTTCTTGTAATTGTTCACAATAGGCAGCTATAATTGCAATTTCACGATGATTGTCGAGAGCATAATCAAGACCACGACAAAAACCTTGTCGAAAACCACGTTGATAACCATATTGACGACCTTCATGTTGACCATTTTCGATTATACGATCGTCAAGAGATGAAGCAAAGTCAAGAGGATCAACTATTATATCGTTAGACATCTAAAATAAACGAATATGGTTATAGTTTGAGATAATATATCGAGGTTGATAGAATAATAAAAGAATGAAGCTTTAGTAAATCGAATGACTTGACTAACGAGAAGTATAAATTTAATAATAGATTGTTCTATGACTTTTCTATATTAATTTTCAAGACAAGAAATTTTTCTAGAATTTTTCTGTCTGTTAATTAGTACAAGTGTCAAAGCAAAGCTATCAATACCTAAATCAAATATATAAGATAAGATCAAATCTCTATCAATCGTACGAGATTTAAGTAAGTGATTATTTTCAATAACTATTATTATTCTCCTTTTGTTTGAAATAATTATTAACATCAATGATGAATCCATGATATCTTTTGTTAATAGATTAAACTTGCCGAAAGTTTTTCTTATATTCAAGTAAATATGTTACTCCTATTCCTACAGATCGATATTATAATTGAATAACAAAAGATTTTTTTCATTTTCTATTTGTTAACATTCTTATCACATATCTATTTCTGTCCTAATAGAATATAAATAAAATTGAGTATACGTATAACTATAATTTATTTTGAGAAGAAAAAAAAAAAAAGAACAAATGATTGAATGACAATCAGATGTAGCACCGCAAAAATATAAAATCATATACACAGCAAACAAAGAGCAAAAGCTCACGAATAAAACATTTGGTGACTAGAAAAATACAAAAAAAAGAAATCATACTTAATATTAATCTGTTTCTTCGAAACCTTCTTCACTTAATTTTTTAATTATTGTTCGTACCATTCTCATACAATCATAACAATCGATTGCATGTGTTTCATGTCTTGAACAATGATCACAATCATCATTATGACCAGGTAAATCTTTTATATGACGAAATTTTTCATTTGCTGTTGTTACTTTACGTTTATATGAATCAAGTACTGTTTCTAAATGTTTAACACGTGCAACTAATAATAAATTAATTGTTTTTAATGATAATTCATTTAAACGTGGATCACCATTACCACAATTTGGTAAAAGATTTATATTAAGATTATGTTTTAAATGATCAGCACAACGACGTATAACATCATCAAAATTATATTTTTGTGCTAATAATAATGAATCAATAGTACCACGTTGTTGCATTAAATAAGCTTGACAACGTTTTGTTAATTCAATCATTTGATATTCCTAAAAACGCAAAGAGATAAACTTTTTTTTTCTTTTTTTAAATATTATTAAAATTTTATTTACATCAGCTAATTCAAGTAAACGTTGTATATTTGTTGCAACAATTGGTCGATTTGGTGGATAAATAACAGCAAGTAATTCTTTCATATCATCAAATGATTTACCGGGTAAATTTATTTCCATTGAATCACGTTCACGAAAATTTGATTTAAACATTGTTTCAAATACAGGTGACCATATAGCAAGTAATGCACGATTACAATATAATTTTTTATCTTCTACATTAAGAATTATATCATAGAATGGTGTTGGTTTTGTAAAATCAAATTGTTCCATTTTTAATTTATTATATATTTACAGTCTTTTTTTTTGTACGTACAGTACGAGTAGATATATATTATATATGAGTACTAAAAATAACACGTCAGGATCATCAACATCTGATAAAGATCATCTATCCATTGTTGTACATACTATCTAGATGTCTCCAGTTCTTTAACCAATAGGGAAAATGGTACTAAATTAACAGATATATAAACATTAAATGGCAATAATTGCATGATTAGAAGGCGAAACTACATTTGATTTGACAACCAGTTATATATAGCCTTGATAACATAAACAGAGTGTGCTGTGAAATTCCGTCAAAAAATACGATCACGTGTAGCTTTTGAATGATTAGTGTGATCTCTCTGAACTTTCTATAATTTGTTTGTGAATTTTTATCTAAGAAACCGTTTTATTTGTCGTTAACGATCCTGGTGTTATTTCCAGTAAACATCATCTTTCATGTATCCCCATTGAAACATTTTGAATGGTATTAAGTAGCATGAATATGAAACTTATCCAATAGAACCATCTTTTTATCATCTTTTATAATAGAAAAGAAAACCATGATTCAATATTCTCTAGAACAAATTTCGCAAGTCACAAGAAAATTTGATGCTAATAAACTTGCGTTATCAATATGAACTTAAGTGAGTTTTTCGTGTGTCATTAATTTAAAGCGTTCAGAAGGTACGCGGTCTACACCAATATCGCTTTCATACAACTATTGAGAAAACTCTTGAATATCATCTTTATTGGACATTCCTTTGTCAAATTTGACTAGCAGCTTTCATCTCATGTTTGTAGACAATTTATATTTGACCACTAATCGGATATTTTGTATTCCAATGTTCATATATAGAGATTTTATCTAAAATACGTTGAATAAAATCTTGATGAGTATGGAATCAAATGATAAAAGATTCTTAAGATGAATTTGAGTTTTTTAGTTCACTTTAGAACAAATAATTTTTGAAATTTACGTCATAATAATGAATTGAAAATTTGTTTATTTTTAAATAGCAATAAAGATGTTGCACTCGAATATTAAATTCTGAAAGTAAAGGATAAAAGTTTTACTTGTGTCATACTATGCATTTACCGCCCAACTCCCTACTACTCATTGGAGTGACCATTTGTTCATCGATTGCAAAAGCTAAATGATATATAGAATTTTAAAGTTTTAAAAGTATGTTGTAAAGTGAATTTCATGAGCTATTGGTTACTATTAAAAAAAAACCATTTTGTTTCATTGCTTCGTCTCCGAATTATCTGGCTTATAAAATGGATAATTTTTTGAAGAAAACAAGTAACGTTCGTCGGTTCGACTCACTTGACCCTCGACTGTATCAGACAGAAGTATATAAGTCTCATCCATGGACACCCAGTTATGAAACAGCTGATTAAGGGAGAACTTATCACATATGTCGGATTGACTGAACTTTCATTCTGAAAAATTGAATTGGTTGAAAATTCAATATTAAAAGCACGAGAATCGAATACTTAGCCAACGTTTTTTTGTGATGTTTCACCTTCCACTATGACAAAAACCTATTTTATTTCATATAACCGTTCCTACACTCGAGAAAAAATTTATTTTCTCAAAAAAAACCTTTTCTCCTGAACCCAAAAAAATTCAATTCAAAATTTCGAGAAACTGACCTCAGATTCGGATTCTCCGACCTTGATTTGTTTTATTCAACCTTTATACAATATCGTTATTTTCGCAAAAAACCCTTTCCTCAACCTAAAAAATCAATTGAAAATTTCGAGAAACTGACTTCAGATTCGGATTCTCCGACCCCGATTTACTTTTGTCAACCTTTATGGAAAATTTTCTAAAGTGGAATTTTTTTTGACCCCGATGCAGACACACACATAAACTATTTTTTTTTTTTCATATGACCCTCCTTACAGTCGAGAGAATATTCTAACTTTAGTCTGGCTTATAAAATGGATAATTTTTTGAAGAAAATATTCTAACTTTAGGAAGTAGAGATCTTTAATGTTTGGTTTGTGATATAAATTGATGAACAGATCTCTTAGTTAAGTTTTTCACGTTAGCTTGGCGAATTACAAATAAATAGATTCAGAATGGGCCATGTTCTTATTATTAAACGTAAAAAGAACAATTAAGAATAAAGCTGACGTTATACAATCCCTTAAAAAAAACTAGCTGATGATTTGAGACTATATATGGGATATAAACTGCTTTTACTCACTCAATACTATTATATAAGAAAAAGAAAATCAAAGCTTCTCATATCGTTCATTTCTTATTTTCTACTGCATGATCACTGTAGTAACCAAAATTATTCGGCTCTAAAAGCGGGGCACCTCATGAATCCGACTACGCCATTGGCATTCAAGAAAGGCTCATATTCTATTTATGAGATTCTTGTGCAACCTGATCTAAAAGAAGTGTTGATATATAAAGGGTAGAAACTTCCGCTTTTCCTTTCACACAGATAGGTCGTGACAGACGTTGATATCTACGATCACGGACTGTATATCATTTACGTCATTTACGATAGATATGAACCACTTTCTTATTGTATTTTTGAACCATTAACTAAAAGGATGATGACGATATGTATCCCAAAATAGATAAAATAAAACAATTTCACTGTGATTGCTAACAGTAGCTGCATTATGTTTCATGTTGTAACGCTACAGGGATTTCGCTGTCAACTTGCTTTTTCTAGAATCACTATTAGGAAGTGAACGGTTAATCTTTCAACTTGATAATAACTGACCTAATCCAATAAATTTTTCTTTCTCATTATATTTATCTAAAATCAGATTTTATTGTATCCATCATTTACATTCACAGAATCATAAACATATTCTACTAATTATAAACGGACCAAAAAAGAAAAGATTATACACACAGACACACACACACACATACAAAACAACACACACTATACGATACAAAAGCTAACCTATATTAATGAATACAAACACAAACCAAAAAACCAAGATAACCTTCCTGAGATATTACTCATATTCATAGCAATCACAGCAATTAGATATCAATTTGATCTCCGAGTGTATTTTTTTCTACACCAACAAAACGTAAATGATGATTAGCTCCATAACGATAATCAAAAAATAATTCTTCTCCTGCTGATATAAAACGTTTTGAATAAATTCCAATTCTATGATCACCATTAACTCGAATAACTTTAGCATAACAATTTGGATTTATTGAATGATTAGCAAAACGTATTTTATTTCCACGACGTGTTGCATCAACCATATATTCTTCATTGAGATCAAATAAAAAACTTGTACCTATTGTATCATACATTCGTCCACGTAATTCACCTTCATCTTGTGTTACCTTAAATAAAATAAAAACAAAAAAAAAATTAAAATTTATTTTTTCTTGATTTTTCTTTTTCTTTTTTACAATTTCTCCACAATATTCAGCAATAAATTCATTTCGTTGAATATTAACTTGTGTAAACATTCCCCAACCAGCTACATCCGATTCAGCTAATAGCAAAGATTTATGTAAACTACGTTGTATAGCAACATTATGACATGAACATGTTGAATTTGTTATTAATTCATTATTAATATTTCCAAAATCATCTGCACCACATTGTGTACATAAATCTGGATCACATTCACGTGCTGCTGCATAACATGGACATTGTTTTGTTGTACATGATGAACGACAACGACAACCAGGAAAACGATTATCACATTTTGTTGATGAACACGAACAATATTTTTCACAGAAATTACCAGCTCGTACACAATAACAGTGTTCATTACAAGGTATTGAACGATCATGATCACATGGATAATATGTATGACGTTTTTGTTCGGGATTGAGATTATTATGATGATTTAATAATATTTGTTGATGACTACGTTGACGACGGAATGATAATGAATGAGAACGACGAGATGATGATGAACGATGATTATTTGTCTAGGAAAAGTTTGATAATTTAAAAGTGTTATTTTTAATTTCATGAAATAGAATATATAATTTCAAGTGTTTGTCACTGATGATAATACAATCCCAGATATATTCAAAACTTGATCACAATAAAAATCCAAGATCTAATGAGGAAGGTCTCCCAGCTAATTAGTTGGAACCCATAGCTTATTACTGGTGATATATTGCATTTTACGATAAATTTCTTTAATTAATGTCGTAGTTCCCTTCAGAAACACCAGAAAAATTGGTTCTTGAATTTCGACTTGAAGCTTTGCATGGAAATAGGCTTTAACAAGAGCAGTTTATTCAGAAATTTTCACTTTTTCTATTACAAGATACAACCATTGTAAAAGCAGGTCTCTTACACTACAGATTCGATGTTCTTATTCCAGAAGAGGAACAGCTCAAATAATTGGATACTTGCACGATTAACTTTCCTCGTTAACGTTTGTTTCTATGGAAATTTTCACGTCGAAAATCCGTTTTTTCTGGTGTCTCTGTTGAAGACTATTTCACTCTATTGCAAGTTATTGTAAAAATACAGTACGTTAGTAGCAATAAGTTATGGGCTCGAGACTCTTTTTGGGTATTTACGATTCGTTAGGATCTAACTGATGCATACATTTCCGGCTCGAAAGCGATTAATCAGTTGAGGAAGTTCTTTTGTGAGATATGTTCTTTATCGGATACTATCGAGATGTTTTTCCGTATTCAGATATTGTATCTTTTCCAAATAACAATCCATCGGTACTAGAAGTGTGCAGAACCAACTTTAGGCTCGGTCTCTACCCCGAGTCGAACAAGACCTAGGAAATCTGTAGTATACAGAACAAGATTTATTTTCATTGAAACACAATGAAAATAGTTCAGTGAAATGTTATGATATGAATTTGAAACTGATGACACTTGTCAAAAAAAAAACATTTGAGATTATCGTATCTATGAAACTACAATTTAATCATTCAAAACTCTAATCAAAACACAGTTCATCAATCCTAGGATTTGTATTATCAATATGAAAGTACGGTTACCATCAAATTAAAGCATTTCGCTTGTACATACATAAATACTTAAGGCTGACCAAAAGTTCTGATCACGGTGCTTAAAGGCCTTTGCCCAATAAGTTAATCTATTCAGAAACAAAAATCAAATATACCATTATGTAGAGCTTTTTGTGGCGCGTCCAATGGTATATAGTAAATCCTGTTTTCATAAGACTTCGAAGGAACTAGAGTCAATTTACGGATATATGACTCCACACCCACACCCGCATCCACTCATATCCACAACGACAAAATGATCGGAGATGCTACTTGTATAAGATTGTAGCCGTCAAAAACTTTACCAAATCGTATGTGAAAGAATATTTTACAAATACTTGCGACTAATATCAAGGGCCACAATATTCAGTAACGTATCATGCTTGGGTGTGAGTGTGGGTGTTAATGTGTAGTCGTCTTCCAGTAAATTGACTCTAGTTTCTTCGAAGTCTTATGAAAACATGATTTACTATATACCATTGGACGTGCCGCAAAAAGCTCTACATAATGATATATTTGGTTTTTCATTTCTGAATAGATTAACTTATCCGACAAGGGCCTTTAAGCACCGTGATCAGAACTTTTGGTCACCCCTAAGTATGTTTATGTTATGTGTAAAGACCTATGAGTCCCATTTAATTTTTTTTCACATACCATATGTTGCCTATCTTTTCCATTACACATTGATGTCTCATCTTCGATTGATTCTTCACTACCATTTGTAGTTGCTGCTTTAAAATTTCCATTAAGTTTTTTCTTTTTATGCTCACCATCAGTTTTCGTATCATTTGAATCCGATGATGTTGTTGATGTCACTGCTGAAAATGAATCAATTGTTGATGAACTTGTTGTTGAACATTGTCGCTGTAAAAATTTTTTTGTTTTATTTATTTCAATATCATTCGTATAAAATAAATAAACTTGTGAACATGGTTTATCAAGTAAATTAGCAATCATACATATATTATCACCATAAATTGTATAAAAAACTCGAAATAATGATTTATCACTTGATGACCATTCAGATAATTCATCAGTTAATTTACGTTTTAATGATGGTTTGATAAAAAAACCATTCGATGATAAATTTATTGGTGATATAGGTTCTGTCTTAATTAAATTTAATTTTGAACGGTTTGAATAAAAACCATTCGTAGGCATTTTAAATTTTACATTATCAGGTAATTCACTATGACTTCGTTTAAGTTCAATTCTTGTTCGTCGTTGTGATATTGAATTGAATCGATAACAATAACGACTACATGGACGAAAGGTTATATTTGAATTTTTAGGTTCAATATTTAAATCAGGTATAGCTTGTTTATCTCTATGTATAAAACAATCGTATTGATAACAACGACGACAAAAAAGCATAAAATATGAATGTAAAGTATTTTCAACAGTTGTATCAAGTGCTGTTGATGAATTATCAACATTAGGTGTTAATTCTTTTGATTGAACACCTTTTGTTTCAAATATTGTACCAAAACGATCTCGAATTAAATCAGCTGACGATGGATACAGTTCTAAAATTAAAATAATTAAGATACATATGGAAAAATTATTAATGCAAGGCAGAGTTGGAACCGGACAGGTTTTTTCTGTCCGATCCTGTCCGGCCGATTAAAAAATTTGTCCGGTCCGGTCCAGTCAGCAACCGGCCGGACAAATTTCACAGCCAAACTGGCAAAAATCCGGCGAAAATAACCGACCATAAAAGTATCTGTTAACATAAAATATTGGCGAAGGGGAATTGAATATTCACATGCAGAAATCCCAACTACCGGTGATCAATTTACATTTACGAAAAATTTAGAAATCCAAAAATAAATTTTAAGAAATTTAAATAAAAAATAAATTTTAAAACGTTTTATTTATTTCGAATTTAAATTGGATTTACATAAATTTAAATTTTGTAAAATTATTTAAATTTATGTAAATTCAATTTAAAATTATAATAAATTAACAGCAAATCGCCACCCTTAATCCGAACTGGAAACTAAAACTTGGGACTGAAACTCTCCCTTCATATTTTATAGCAAGGTGCGTCGACTTTTCGAGCCCGACATCGATATAAATTAGCTATTCAGATCAAATCTGTTTTTCATCTTAATTTCAAAAAAGAAAAAAAAGCAAGTTTATAACACATCCAACATAAAAATGTAAATTTTTATTTTTCTTGATTCAGGCAGCTGCCTAAGTAGAACAAGAGAATAAATTATTTGATCAAGGTTAAATTGAGCGATACATGAGAAAGAAATCGATAGAGATATAAAGAGAACAATCAATCGTTTATAGTCAAGTCGAAGGCAAGATATCTATTGAGTCTTTCGCAAACACATTCTTCTGACTTGAAAATATCATAAAAAAACCATTTTCGGTAGAGAAAATTCTTGGATATAAACAACAATTTTGTAATGATGAACTGGCAAAAATTCGGTTCTGTCCGGCCCGGTTTAACTTCTTGTCCGGTCTTGTCCGGTTCGGTCAGGCCGGACCGGAGCCGGATTGCCGGACCGGTTCCAACTCTGATGTAAGGTTTCTAATGAATGGTAAATTTTTTTTTTCTAAACTTCAAAACTCAACAAAAGAACAGTTATGACTGCAATCTGTGTGGAATGAAACTGTAAAAGATGATGTAGATATTGCTAATAATCACAATTCATAGTGCAATGGCATTTCCATGTTGAAATCTCTTTTATTACTCGTTCAATAGACTGAAAAAAATTATACAGAACTATTTTATAAAGAGAAAAATAAAAACCAAGATCTGGTAGTTAAAAAAGAGCCTTCTTTTGTAAAAGATTAAACGTGACATAAATATTTAGTCCATAAAACTTTTATATAGGTTGTTATCTTGAAAGAGTATTTGAAAAAAAGTTATACCTTTTCCATTGGTTTTTGTGACTTTAAAGCTGTTTCGATTCCATAAAACATGTCTACTACAAAGAAGACACTTTGAATCCTATGTGAAGAAACAACCCAAAATTAAAAACCCGGTCACGAAAGAGAGATTCCGCTTGAGCACATTTGTATCAGAAATGAATCGGTTCGTGTTTGTTTTGCAATTGAACCGAATCTGTCTCATCTCTGATTTGTACTTAATGTCGGTACAAGTACAAAGGACAACTGTTAAGTAAAAAAGTAAAAAGTACCAAGTATCCAATCACCGTAGGAAGATTGTTTTATTCTATCGATTTTGCGATACATTTGTTTACTATTCTTTTACTTAATCTTTCCGAAGTGCAATCAGGAAGTAACTCATATATTAGAACAAGACCTTACAAAAATACACGGTCTGTGATGATATCTGACTAGTATCTGTCACAATCTATAGAAGTGGATTCAAATTTTCATCCCTATATTTCAATATTTGTTTTAGACCGTGTCGTACAAAATAGTAATTCTAATTTTAAAAAGAATGGTATTTTACTCAAAAAGAAAACGTTTTTTTAAAGATGTTCAGATTCACTGAATTTTTGGAAAACCTATGGTCTTCTATTCTAGGAGAATAGAAGGAGATGGGGTAATGATTCAAATAATTATTTAATAAAGTAGCCACAACTACAACATCAGTGTCATGTAACTGTATTGTATGAAACTATTCTGATTATCCTGAAGCTTGTCAAATATATTTTGTAGAGTTGATATATTTTTCGAATAAAAATAATAATAGGTGGAAGTATTCAGTTGAAATTGTCTGACCTCTCTTCTAGCAAGCAAGGTTCAAAGGTCGAAGGGTGCGTTTCGTTAGTGATCAAAATAAGAGGTTTATCATTTGAATTAGAACCCCAAACATTAAAGATGGAAGCAAAACTGTTACGTTCGCTGTCTATCAATTGTATTTCTAATAATTGTCAAAAATTATCAGGTGACAAACTTGACCTCAGATGAACTGCGCTGATAAGATTTTTATTTTGAGTATAGATTTACGTTCTTCTATTCTCTGAAACTACGACATTTCTAGAATACTTTTTGTACTTACTAATTAACGTTTCGAATAAAGTTGATTCATCATCTGTTGTCATGGTTATTGCTGAATGTGCTGGTTGTTGTTTAAGACGTTTTAATAATTCTATAAGATGTTCTTCATCAAAAATAAATTCATTATTTTTGTCACGAACTGCTGATGTTTTTACAGAACGACGTGTACGTCTTGTTGTTGGATAAGATCGAATTGCTAAATTGAAAAAGAAGAAAATATGCAATAGATAAAAACATATTTTTCTTACTTTCTTGTTCAACTAACGTATCCGATTGAACAGAATTAAGAAGATTTTTAATATCTTCATCATCTTCATCTAAAAGTAGATCTGAGAGATTTGTCACTGTATCACACTAAAATAAAATTTAAAAAAAATTTATATCACTTCAAAAAAAATGATTGATGTATATTTAAATAATCTTACGAGAAAATTTCTTTGTAATGGTACATAAGTGAACATATTAGGTAATTGATCAACTTGAGGTAAAATTGAAAGTGAACATATTAATTTATCACCCGTCATTCCATCATAAGCACAAGTTGTATACAATGACAGGTTTCTTTCTGTAGATATCGGTTCTGAAACAATACGTGGACGTCGTAATTGATTATATTGTTCAACTTGTTCACCAATAGTTGTTAGAAGTGGCCTTGAAATATTAATTGATTCGTAGGAAAAAAAAAACACTTAATCAAACAAACTTCAATAATAATAACTACTTACACAGCATCACGTCTTTGTCGTATATCGATTGTGCGACAAATATGTTTGAGTGCACGTTCAATTCGATCTTTCCAAATTGAATCGACTGTGTTGTGGCTATTAACAGCACCAGTCGTCATTTTTCTTGTTTAATAATCACACAGGCTCCATTTTCTTTGATTAATTCTAATAGGACAAGGTTACCTATCTATCAAATGAAGAAAAAAGTCATATTATTTCTTTTATTCAATTTAACAGCTGCTATCAGCTGAGTATAGAAAACTATTTTTTTTTTTTTTTCTATCAAATGGTTGAAGTCAATTATTTTTTTCTTCCAATGAATGAACACCAGACAAGACACGGATAAAAGCAAATAAATATATTCATATAGCGCTTCGTTGTCACTGGTTGTCACATTCATAGAAAATTAACCAATGATAACATACAACAAGATTGATTGATTGATTTTTTTTATTCACAAGAAGCCCAACATCAAGGGTTTCCGAGTGAAGCAGTGTTCCCCATTCTTGAAAAAAAAAAAATGTTCGTTTTTTCTCTAATGGAGCTTCAGTATTTCATTGGTTTTTGTTTTGCTTATCAATCCCGACATCTCGAAAAAAAAAAGCTCAACCCGCCACTCTACACATTTAGACAACTTTAGCAAAAAACTTTGACAATTGGTCTTCTGATGATTTTGAGACACTTCGGCATGTAACAATAAATAAATAGTTACATCATCTTGTTTTTCGTCTTATTAACATAATTTTGTGTTTGTCAAGACAACACACATCATTAAAAATACACTTCTTTTTTCACCCTTAATTTTGCATAAAGGAAAAAATATATTATGTATTCTGTGTATTCATTATTTGAGATGCCTAGAAACAGAAAAAGCATCCAGAAAAAGATAATTTATTAGTTGGATTAAAGCGTAACTTCTTAAAAGAGATACTATCTTAAAATAATAGACGATTAATAAATGGTTTAAGTGACTAATTGTTTTGTAAAAATTTTTCATTTGTTTCACTTCTTCATATAACTAACTATTTAAATGGATTCAATAGCTTACAAAGAAATGTAAACACATATTCAATGATTTTAATAGAGGCTTCCTTTGTAACAAAATTTTTGGTTTATAAGGTTTTCATCATGTTATGAATTATTCAGACCTAGCGTTTAAAAAAAACATTAACATAGATATTGAATCAAAATATTTCGTAATGGCTGACTTGCTTTTACTGACATTGAATATCTCTTAAACTTTTCGTTGTGTTCCAGTTTAATCTCTTCCTGATAAATTTTACTACTTCATACTTGAATATATATTATCATTTTATTGGTTTTTAGTACACTGATTAAGAAAATCGTACATTTTCTACAAGACAGGTATCAATCAGTTCAAAATCAATCATTGTTATTGAAAAATAAGATAACAACAACTATACTAACGTCAGTTATATTATAGCGCATAAGTAATAAGAAGCAAAAAGCAGGCAATTTATTCGAAACTAAGGATGTTCAAACATTATCAAGGTAGTTTTGAGGATAGCCTCATTTTGCAGAGAATCACTTATAATTAACGAAAAAAGTTTTTTCTTCAAATCATAATACTTTGCGCCTTCTTAGGCGGATATCTGGCAAGGTCTATGAGAACATGTGGAAGTATTCATCGGCATTTTTTGTTCCATAAAAAAAAAACTTAAAATATGTGACAAAAATCTTCTTGTGATTCTTACTTATTTTGAATCGTTTTTATCATAACATTAATACAATCTATAAGATCATAGGCGAGTAATCGAAATTACTTTTATTTTACAAAAAACTTACTTAAAATTCGTAACAAAAAAAAAACTTTTACTCTATATCATGTTGATTCGTCCATTCTAGAATAACAGTGATTTGGTATTGTCGAACGTAGAAACTTACGGAAAAGTACCTAAGTCTTCCGAACAAAAAATTCTTTTAAATCGTCACTTGTTGGCTACTTCTTATGACAACATTAGTACGATGTCTTTGATTAAGTACAATTCTCCAAAACTACTCACATGTTATAAATGTACTTTTGATATTTGATAATATTGATTATTTGGTAGTCATGAGAATATTTAAATTGTAAGGGATAGAAATATGCCAGACTGAGACCAGGACCAGATTAGGTTCACCAAGGTCACAACTGAAACTAGTAGAAAAGAAGTTATTGGGTCTAAGGCCAAAACTAAGCTTGGTCCTGCACATCTCTAATATGAAAGCACATTGAAATTGTGAAAAAAAATTATTAACGATATTTATTGAATTAAGAACTAGGTTTCTTCTTACTAGACGTCACTGTAATTTTCGTGGCTCAAGACCTGATAGAGAGAGACACTTTCTATATGATAGGAGTATATGGACACTATCTAACATACATCATCATACAATTATAAAGTGATTAAATTTTTAATTGATTTCAAGTCTACTATTTTATCTGGTCAATCATTACGTATTACCGTCAATTACTGTAACGTCACCGTCAACGATCTCTTTAATGCTGTCTGGTGTCATTGTTGCACACGTTCTGTATTACTGACAGCATACGAAATTGTATTCGCACTGTGGAATACCATAAAGTTGACCTAATTTAGTTGTATTCTATCATACTTACTGCCGTATTCCTAGTTCCGTAATTATATAAAATAGCAGCCACGTTAATGGGTTGTAATTCACTGTAAACGGTTTTCTTTAATCAAGGCTGCATAAAGAAGTCTGATCATAAATTCTTCCTTGTTACATATGTTACAAAAATTTTTTTCTATTAAACAAATTCCTTTGCCATACGTCTAGTAATTGTTATCTTCATAATGATTGCAAAGGTCAACGGGTTTTCCTTATATATGATAACAAATATTTTAGTCTTCTGTATCTAGCGCCATCTATAATCCAAGCATCGTTCATTGGTTATACCATGAACTGTTGAAAAAACACAGATATACCAACAAACAAGCTAATTTCACCATTCCGAGTGGTGTTTAACTACGTAGGTCATCGATCGGGTTCATCAACGTAATCATTATTCATACTCTACTTATAGATTAACATTTTATTGCTTATTGATATTAATCAGTTGTTTACTTACTAAAACACACATACACAAACAATGCCGCCACCAACCTCGACGGTATCACGAAAACGAACCCGTTCAACAAATGTTTCTGAAAGTAATAATGAACATGAACAAGCAACATCAACATCAACTATTGTTTCTTCTCAACCAATGACGACAGCTCCACCTAAACGTCAACGTAATAATCCACCATCAACAACATCTTCCGTAGCATCACATACAGATTATTCACTTCGAAATCGTTCAATAACACCTGATACACGACCTTCATCAACACGAATACCATCTATTGATACATCAACTGATTCTCAACGATATAATTTACGACCACGATATCCACGATCACAAATTCGTTTACCTCAAGTTTCAACTTCACATTCAATTACAGTACCACGTCGTATTCATCGACGAATTCCATCTACAACACAACAAGAACAACCAACATCATCTATTGTTCAACCACGACAATATCGTCTCGTTTATATATCAGATGATGATGATCAACCAATAACAACTACACAACCATCCACATCTATTGTTAATACAACTTTTAATTTAGTAACTGACGATGAAGACGATAATTTAATACGAACACAAGTACCACCTCGTCGTACAGCAAGATCAACATCTGGTACAATTCATAATACACGGTAAATGCAACAAATAACTTTCAAATCGAATTTTTTCTTGCTATGTTTGTATTTTTTTTTCTGTAGTTCTCGTACATCTACTGATCCAACAAGTACAACTACATTAGATAATCAAGATTTTGCTAATGGTGGTGTAGCACATGTCCGTCTTAATCGTGCTATTGAAATTGTTATCGATTCTATACAATCTCTTGAAGGTGCTGTAAATAATTTTGATCAACTTGTATTTGGTCTTATTTATGGTCGATTCAATTCACGAAATGAATTTGACAATATTGAAGTAAATAAATAAAAAAAAAAAACCAAATTTATTTTCCTAAAGAAAAACGTCTTGTTCTTTTTTTTTTTCATCTAGGGTATGATACGTTTATCTCGAATACTTAATTTAAATTTTCCATCACGATTAACACAAGATGAAATCAATGCATTGCCAAAAATAAAATTTATTAATAAATCAGAATCAACGTCATCAATACTTTTAGTTGAAAAATGTCCTATTTGTTTAACAGAATTTAATGATCAAGAAATAATTAATAAATTACATTGTACACATCTATTTCATCTTGAATGTATTTCAACATGGCTTAGTGTAAGTTAATTATATAAGAATGAAATAAATTTTAAATATTTGATTTCAATAGGAAAATGATTCATGTCCAACATGTCGTCGAAAAGTAAATGGAGATTAAAATCTTTGTTTTTATGTACCATATATGAAAAAAAAAACGAACTAACTAACTATTTCTGCATTCGTTTCTAATGAACAACCTCAAACCCGGTGAAAGTTTTTCTTTTTCTCTCGTTTAACATTAATCTTTATTTGTTCAAAAAGAAAATGTATGAATGAGAGATTATTTATATGTGTTCAGTTTTTTTTTTGTTCTTCTTATTTCTGTAAAAAACACAAACTTGCGTGATACATATTAAAACTTATACTCTTCTGTTTTCTTCTTTTCTTTTGTCTTCTGATATTGATTATTTAGCAGAATGTTTGTGTGTGTGTGTGTGAAAGCAACAGCTATAAACATATATATGAATAAAGGTATAAATAAACGCAAAAAATACATACGTAATCTAATATTTGAATAATATCAAAGAGAAAGAAAAAGGATGATTTTATTTTAATAAATAACTTTAGTCTCATTGTAAGTTTATTGACAAAACAGCTTTATAAGAAATCTTTTTCTTTTATTTCTGGTCTTTACTTGATAATGTTATCTTATTGAGATACTTTTCTTTTGTGACATTCTGAAAAGGTGAAGAATAAGTTACATTAATAGAAACAAAAACGACATCAAGTAACAAATCATGGGCTTTGAAAGAAGACATTGGATTATTGTTGGCAGTGTAGGAATTGCTTTGGCTATTGCTGCTATTGTCGGTGTTACAGTAGGAGTTGTTGCTGGACGACAAAAAACCAATGAACAACGAACACGTAATATTCTTGCACAAAATCCATTGATTGATGGGTAAGAAGGACAATAGAATAGAATAAGAAACTATTTTTCGATTTCTTAAGTTCTCGTGGTTTCTTTGAAGGAAATTCTTTCAAATATTAATCTACCGGCTTATAGTAGAATATAAATTAAATGGTTTTTCCTTCGTCTGAATAGACTATCATGGGTTTAATTGAAAAATATTGTTGAGTAATCCAATAGCTTTTTTCAGGATTTTAGCATGTAAAAATCTGACTTTCCTTTATTCTCTACGAAGGAGATCATATCAGATTTTTCCAGGAGAATTGAATTATTGCAATAAATGTCTTGATTACAAATGTGCTAGACCAGCTTGAATACCGAGTTCGAAAATTTTGGATCCGATAGATTCTAGTCGTTTAATGAAGTGTGTACGATGAGCTTGTCATCGAATACAAATATAACTGGAAAAGTGTCTCACATCTTCGGAGCGACTATTTAATGCAGATTAAAAAATTTTATTGAACGTATCAAAGTACGGCTCGACCGGATACGAAAAGTTTGGAACCGAGAACTCTTAAAGCATCAGATAGAAACAAAAAATTCTAAAATCTACGTCGAGATGTCTTCAATTTCTCATTCTTGGCACTAAAGATTTCCGCATATACGTATAATATTGTGTTGTTTAAACACTGACCTATGCAGTTAATAGTTTCGGTTCCATATGATACTTTAGGGTTTGTCGAATTTCACTCTATACTGATCACCAAGATCAAAGCTTGTAGGATTACTAGGACTGAAACCTAAAAGGTTTGCTTGCGTACATGTCTATTCTTGATACACCTACATTTGATCAATAATTTACATAGTATTTTACATATCAGTTATTCAATTAATTAACTAATTTATACAACCATGAAGTCTTGGTTATAGCTTGCATTGAAAAATAAACCTGATGTCATATAAATTGCATCAAGGTTTTGTTTTATAGAAAACTGTTTTTCTCATGAAAAGTGTTCCTTATTTTTAAGTATTCTAGTATTTCTTAGAGAAAAATGATTATTAAATGAATAGTCGATATAGTTAATTGTTTTTAATATTTAATTACATTTTTCTAGTCATAATGATTGGGCTGGTGTTATTCGAGTTGTTCTTCGAAATAATATATCTGGTCATGATTTTTATAATATGACTCAATATGATAGAAAAAATAGTACACCATCTCAGACAGATATAACACGTTTACGAAAAGGTCTAGTTGGAGGACAGGTTTGTTTTTGATATTTATTAATGTTTCATCAAAACATATTTAAATAAAATAGTTTTGGTCAATTTATACACCTTGTGTTCATCAAGGAAAAGATGCTTTAATAAGTTTTATGGAACAAATTGATGTGATGAATCGATTAATAGAAAAATATTCTGATGTATTTCAATTGGTTAAAACAGCTGATGAAATTCGACAAGCATTTCAAGCTAAACGTATTGCAAGTTTATTTGGTGTCGAAGGTGGACAATCTATTGAAAGTACATTTTCAATTTTAAGACTTTTCTATCAATTGGGTGTACGATATATGACATTAACACACAATTGTAATACTCCATGGTATGATTCTTTTTTTGATCTTTCAATAAAATATAATAGACTTCGAATTTCTCTGAGAAATCTATTAATTATAGGGCTGATCAACATCAAGTTGATCGAATTAATTCAACATTAATAAAAAATAATGGTTTAACAGAATTTGGAAAAAAAATTATCACAGAAATGAATCGTCTTGGAATGTTAATTGATTTATCACATGTTTCAAGAAAAACTATGCTTGATGTATTGAATACTACTCGTTCACCAATTATATTTAGTCATTCATCAGCTTGGGCTATATGTAATCATTCACGAAATGTTCAAGATGATGTACTTCAATTAATTGTAAATTTCAAGACCAAAAAAAAAAAGAATTTCATTCTGTAATCGAAATCTTCTAATATTCTTTTTTTCTCTTTGCAGAAGTCTAACCGTGGAATTGTGATGGTGGCATTTACACCAGGTTTTATAACATGTGATAATGAATATATTGTACAAATTCCAGATGTTGCAGGTAAAATGAATTTCTAATTCTATGATTATCTAGTTTTTATTTGATCTAGCACACATTAATTACATTCGAAATGTTGCTGGTATCGATAATGTTGGTATTGGCGCTGATTATGATGGTATTGATGAGTATGTTTTCATTTTATTTTAGTTGTGTTTTTTTAATGCATATTTTGATGTACATATATATACTAGAACACCAGAAGGTCTAGAAGATGTATCGACTTATCCAAAAATTATTGAATATTTAATATCGCAAGGAAATTGGACTGATAATGATATTATTAAACTTATTGGTGGAAATATTTTACGAGTGATAGAAGAAAATGAAAAAGTATATTCAATTTATTTTTTTTTTTGCTATTCTTATCCTATAATATATTTTGAGTGGTTTTTTTTAGATTGCACGAGATCTTCAAAAGATAATGCAACCATTTGAAGATTTAATACCACGTAGTGATTTAATCAAATACAATTTAACTCAATGTCGATATTTAGATATGTATACAGATGAATCTAATCAGTGATTTATACAAAAAGACATTAGTTTTGATTGTCATAAAATCTATATTGACTTCAAACGTATTCTCTTTTTTACAATCACATAAATTAACATTTTGGTAAAGATAAGTATAACCTATGGTGTTACAGTTTGTTCTAACCATTCATTAATAACTGCTAACAAATACAATATACACAAGTTGTGAATAGAATCAGTATTTTTTAAGTTCTTCATTCCAACATCATATTTCAAACGTTGACTCACAGCAAATCAATTACTTCAGTTGAAAAAAAAATATTCGGAGCAAAGATTTCGAAAGAGAACAAAACTTTTGATTATCACCGAAAGATAAACAATATTTTGTCTAACAACTTTCTGCTTAAAGTTCATCTTCAATCATGTTAACCATTTGCTCTTTGTTAATCGACCTTATGACGACATAACAATTCTGAACAAAAACTCAAAAAAAATTGCCTAAAATTCTAATATTAACTAATTAATTTTGACTTTCAATAATTGCTAATCAATAGTTAGAAAATGAACAGATATCTCGGTTACCTACATACGAAAAGATTCGAACTGAAGAGTAAATAAAGCTGAGTCTATCATTGGGAAAAGCACGATCGAGGGTGTAAGAAGTTTATGACAAAGATGGAAATGGAACACATTTGTAAATAAATTAGTAGAAAACAAACTCTTTAACTAGATATTACTCGATAAAATATGGAGTAGTCTTAAAACATATGACTTAATAAAAACCTCAGATATTTACGAACCATCAATATTTTTAACGAAATTCCATAACGAACAGTATTTTTAGATTTTTGCACAATGCGATCATCGTGTGAAGAAATGACTTGATATTCTGAAAGCTCGTTGAAAATTGAAAAACTTCTACGCAGAGTATCAAGTTGTGTGTCACGTCGTTTCTAGTAAAATTTTAAACTCGGAGCATTTCTTTGAAAAAACAACAATTCGACTTAAATCAATGAATTTTGTTGTATCACAAATAACCTAGGCATAAAAGTGGCTGGTGATCTGGGAATTTGAGTATTCGAAAGATAACATATGACTTTATCAATTCATGTAAAAAAAACGAACAAGCAAGCAATGATCAGTTCTCAGTGACGACTTCAGAAACGATGCTCTTGAAAAATTTTTCCATGACATTCACTTTTAAGATAGTCATTTGACAGAGAAAACCAATGTCTCTCAATGTGATTCTGTTCCTAAGTTATAAACGTTCTTCAGCAACTCTCTAAATCGGCCAATTGACAATGCTGATACACGTGGTCGTGCTTATTTTCTTTTTAAAGTAACATGAGGTAATCAAATCGATAGTATAAAAATCCATTCTTTTCGCGTAATACCTAATTAAAACTGACAACTTTTAAATTTTGGTCTGATTTTTTCATGTTCCTTTAAGAAAGAAAGAAAATAAACACCACCACTTATATCAGTATGGTCAATTGGACGATTTTGAGAGTTTCAAAGGGACACTTATAACTTGGCTATGGAATCATTCAGAGAGACCTTGGTTTTCTCTATCAAATGGCTATCTTAAAAGTCAACATGTAAGGGGAAAGTCTCCAATGGCATCGTTTCTAAAGTGGTCACTGAGAACTGGCCACTGCTTGATTTTTACATAGATTGATAAAGTGATCTGCTCTCTTTTGAATAGTGAAAACTGCAGATTGCCAGGTACTTTTATGCCTGAGTTAATTATACTACAACAAAGTCCATTGAGTTATAGAAAGGATAATAGCTCTTTTACTCCATAATAGAACACCGTCGATCTTGTATGTATTATGTTCCCTTTGTCTTCAATTTTTTTAATTAAATAATGATTTTCCAGAAAACTGAAATAACTTTGAGGATTTAGAGTGTTTTAAAGGTCGAATAACAATCCTGACTTTAGGTTTTTGGGGTGTGAGTGTAGAAGAAGATAAGATTCATACTCAAATCCTTCTTATTTCATGTTTTACCGATATTGAAACAAGAGAAAGAAATTGTATACTTCCGACTAGCTGATAGTCTCAAACAAGTAATTAAAAACTTAAGTCGTACTAATGTTGAAAACAAAAGGCATTGTTTAGAAGTCGATCTATTCAGTTCATCATTGGCCTTCCATCGTTTTCTGTCATCTCATAAGAAATAAAAACATATTGGAAGTGTAATAAAAGGAGTGGTAGAAAAAACAAAAAGTTATGAAAATTTTTTGAAAAAAAGCCTGTTTTTCTTTTACACAGTCAGTTGATAACACTTCTTTCAGAAATTCAATGCATAGTGACTAGTGCATATCTTGGATCCCTACAGTACTGAATTGATAAGAATTTATTCAAAAAGTAAATCTGGTGATTTGTATTATATTGATCGATTTCTTTTTACCAGTTGAATTCTGTACCTGTGCCGATCGTTTTTGTGCCAATTATCTATCGATTAACTAAAACGAAGCTCACTTGGCAAGTTACTAATTTACTGATAAGATTGATGAAATCTTTCCTATGGCTCAACTTGCTCGACTGTTCCTCGGATGGTTTTGCTGAATTTCGATAATTTGCTAAAATTTCGTTATGAGCACAAAAACTAAGGTAAAATATCGTCAAGTTTTGATAAGTTCGAAGCTACAAATAAACTAAAATCATCTTTGAATATAGCTACTTCATTCATGAAGTTCAAATTATGGCCTTGTATGTTATTTTCCATGAAAAAATATCGAAAGGATGTGGGTGTGAGCGTATTCAGTTCATGATCTGTAGATAAATTCTTATTAAAAAGAAAATTCTTTGAGCAAAACAATGTCATTTTTGCACTCTTATGACCTGTGTTCAAGTACGAAAATATTGTATAATTATCATCGAACTAGTTTCCATTTCTATGCTTTCTGTTATAAATTAGTAGTTAGAAACAAAGTAAAAACTTTCTAAAATGTCAACATAATGAAAGATTCTCTTTTTTTCTTTATTGTTTCCAGTTTTATTAAGATAAACACTTGTTTATGTTTCCATACAAGACAAGATCATATAGTGTTTACACTTATATAACCGGGTCAATAATATGTCATACAAGTAGTTATGATTCGATCAAAAAAAAAGAAAAGAATGTCAAGATTAACAACAAACAGAAAATGTCAATATACAACCAATGGTTTATTCTTGTTCATCATCTTTTTCCTAAAATTTTGAAAGAACAACAAAATTAATATCTTCTTCGTTTTCTTTTCAAATAAAATCTTACTTCAAGATCATCTTCTTCATCATTTTCTCCTCCACTACCTTCTTCTTCATCATTTGTTGTTGCAGCCTATAATAAAAAAATCTTTCTTAGCAAGAGAAAAAAAATTAATTTTAATTATCCTACCAAATAATATTGAAGAGGATTAACAAATATATCATCTTTAATAACTTCACCAAATTCATCATTACCAGCTTCACCATTTGTATCTGTAAACCAAGCCATAAAAGCGCCATGTTCATTATTATTATTTTCTGTATCATGAGTACGTTTACGTGTTTCACCTTCACTTTTTTTACTATTACTACTACTTGCTGTTTGACCATTTTTAGTTTCCTTTAAACGAAAAAAAAAAAAAAACAATAGAAACTTTTCTTTTTAATATTTAGTATATTAAAAGAATTTTACAAACATTTTTCCATCGAATTGGTGTTGATTTACATGTTGTTTCACTTGATTCAGTTACACTAAATTCTTTAATAATAACATCATTTTCAAAATATGGATTTGTATCAAATGTCTAAATTAATAAAATATCAGGAAAATTTCATTCTAGCAAAAAAAAAAAAAAACTTACAAACTTAATACGATAACCTGATTTGATATCATCGTGCTAAGCAATAAAAAATATTAGAATTAAAAATTCGTTTTGTTTTTTTATTTTAATTTACTTCTTCAACATCGACACGTTTAAGATATTGTAAAATATTTTCATCATTTTGATCTAAATAACTTGATAATTGAGGATGATTGAGAAAAACACTTATCCAAAATGATGGAATTTTGCTGATTAAATCGGAGCCTTGAAAAAAAGAATTAATGATGAAATTATATTAAAAAATAAGAAGAAACAAACGTTTTTTATAATTTGGTTGTCGAAGTTTATTATATTTTTGTTCAACTTGAAGAATTTCTTCACTGGCTTGTTCATTAAGACGATCAATTTCATTTTGAACATCACCAATTACTTCAAATGCTTTTTGCATTTCAGCTTCTACAAAATAAAACAAAAAAAAGACAAAACATATCATATTTCATTTCTTATCATAGATCAAAATAATAATAATTACCATCAAGTTTAATTTGTTTGGTATTTGGTGCTGACATTATTTAAGTATTTGAAAGAAAGAACAAGATGATAATGATATAAGAAAAGTCGTAAACAAAAGCACTATGTCTTTTATTCTTGTTGTGTAATGAATTGACCAATAATAATGTTAAACGAATGACGTTAGCTTTCCTCTCTTTTCTTATATACTATACCTACTTCTCGTGAGAGATTTGATGATAGCGACATCAAGCGGAAACATATGTTTATACTAGTTGATGAAGTCATTTATAGGATTTGATTATAATATGTAAATTCCAGTTGTTTCTTCCTCTTTCTCTCTTCGATTCTCAGAAGGATATTAAATTACAAATTATTCAAGTTTTTTTTATTTTTTTTGTATGGTATGTCATATCGATAGATGAGAATGTTATCTTTAGTCCGCGATGATTCTCTGACATTTTATTAAAAAGAAAATTTTTATGCTTAATCTTATGTGAACTATTTTAAGGTAGTACTGTGTTATTTTCAACTATATTGTAGAGAAAAACAAAACAAAAAGCAGCACATTTATTATAAAAAACTCTTTGAAACAACTTGTGACTAGAATCGTTCGAAATAGACTTCTGTAGAGTTAAACTAGGAAACGTAATTGGACTTATTTCGTTGACATTTATTTCAGGATTTTTTTCTCAATGAGTTATACAAAAGAAAGAAAAAGATCTTGTTAATTATAATTTCTC